GATTGTTTCCAAAGTATAGATTGTTGGGATGTTTTTTTTTCTTTTTTCCAAATCCTAATTCTCTGGACCAAGTGCTGAAGCAATAGTTCCCATTGTCTTGAAGGACATTCCCACCTTCCCAAATTTTATCCTGAAGCCCGGTATGAAATTGCATACTTGAATACTTCTGATTCAGAATCCACCTTTTCTTCAATATCCTGATTTCCTCAGCCTACATTATCCTAATAGCTCTCCCAGTGTTCTATTCTACAGTGACAGAGAGACTTATTGATCACTGCTTTCATGTGGGAATAGTCCAATCCCAGAACCACAGAGCCTCCCATGAAGAAGAAACTGCAACTCTGTCTATGAGACAGGACCTGTTTTGATCACTGCCGGTCACCCACAGTATCCCACAAAGGTCAGACCCACATGTCACTCCTCTGTTCCTCATTTGTCAATGACTTCTATGACTGAGGGGAAATTAAATAAGTATTCAAACTTTCCTTAGTAATAGCTTGCACATATGTTGCATATACATGATCTGTATGCTCATAAAGCAGTGAAATGCAGGGGGGTTGGGAGGGAACCGGAAATATGCTGTATTCTCACCATGAATTTCTATTGTTAGGGGCTCACCACCCACATATGCAGGGACAGGTGCCATGTGAGGTCCTAAGATGGAAAATAATTTGATTCTTAGGTAAGAACTGGGAAATAATTAATGGTGATGATGATGGTGATGGTGATGACGCTATTGTTGTTCAGTTATGTCCAACTCTTTGTGACCCCATTTTGGGGTTTTCTTGGCAAAGATAGTGGAGTGGTTTGACATTTTTTCTCAGTCCATTTTAGAGATGTGAAAACTGAGGCAAGCAGGCTTAAGTGATTTGCCAACAGTCACACAGCTAATAAGTGTCAGAGGCCAGATTTAGACTCACAAAAAGGAATCTTCCTGAATCTAGGCTCAACACTCTATCGCTGTGCCACCTAGTTGCCTAATAAAAATAGTAGTAATAATAATTAATATAATGAACATTTATAAAACACTTTAAAGGTTTACAGACTGCTTTAAGTAAATGGTCACTCGCCTACTGGCCTGTAGGAGTATCTATCAGCTTAGCTTGGTCAATAATGGGGATGCAAGAGGTGGGCCCACCAATGAATACAGGTTCAGGACATCGAATAGTATGAGACAAGGAGCCATGCAGTAGGACAGGTACAAGAGGGGTCTAGTTGTCCCCCAATTCATAATTCTGGATCCACTTAGTGTAAGTAGAAGATATGCTTTTTAAATTGTCATCAAAGGCTCATCTTACTCATTTTAAAATCCCTCATAGTGGTTTGTATGAAGTAATAATAATTGACTGCCTTAGAGTGATACAAATATACATGAATGCTAAATACTTTTAGAACAATGAAAAGAGCATCAGACAAAACGTTTCCTCTTCTTGGGGCTTGGGCTCTTCATCTGCAAAAAAAAAAGAAAGCAGGGCTCTCTGGTCCCTTCTAGCATTGCGTTTACAATCCTGCAATTGGATTAAATCCTTGAGAGGTAAGGAGCATAATCAGATGTTTGTTGCATGACTGAATGAGTGCCAAGAAGCCGTCTTTTGCCTAGTAAATGGAATTAACTTTTGTGTGTGTGTGTTGTATGTTGTATCATTTCAGTCATGTCCAACTCTCTAAGACCCTATTTTGGAGTTTTCTTGGTGAAGATACTGGAGTGGTTTAACATTTCCTTCTCCAGCTCATTTTACAGAGAAACTGAGGTAAACAGGGTTAAGTGACTTCCCTAAGATCACACAGCTATGTCTGAGGCTAAATTTGAACTCGTCCTTGTTTAATGAAATTAAAAAAAAAAACAGCAACATGCATGTCAATACCCAGACCAATATTTTCTTTGCCTTGTGAAGATGAGATCAAATATTCCAGACAGAGACAAGGCACACCCAGGAGATCCATTTTAGTGACATATTACTAAACAGCCTAGCTCATGTTGAAGATGGAGCTGTCTCTGGCACCCCGTCCTCTCTTAAACAAACCGTGGGTTAGACTTCCCCTCTATTTCCTTAGCAGTTTTCTTTAAGCCAAGTGAGAGAATCACTCCCTCATTGGTATGCAAGAGGTCCAGGCATTCAGACAAGAAAGGTGATACATATCTCATTTCAACTCCAGTGACAATGGCATTTTCATTAACTTTAAAGATTTCCCCACCAAGCACAAGCCATAAATCTACTGTGCCAGGTCTTCAGGAAATCCCCAAACACATACTAAGCATTCAGCCAGTGAGGCAATCAAGACACCAACCTCAGGAATGGGCTATGAACCATGTCTCCCTGCCCCCACTCTTTTTGGTTTACGCACATATTTCAATGTCCAGAAAGATGGGGACAATGTACAAAGACCAGGTGCACAAGATGTCAGTGGAAGGTATCAACACTTGCTCTACAAGACACATGTAAATCAGCCACACCGTCAGGCACATGGTAGGTGCTTGTCCATCGATTCCTAGTCCTACAACATATACCATCATAATAATTATGTATCAGCCCACACACCCAAAAGTAGTGTACACTGGATGAAAATAAGCAACACCGTGTCTGCCTCTCATTCTGCCCTTGTTTCCCTAACCTTCAGTAGGGGATTCTGAAGAAGGGGCAACAAGTAGCAGGCAAGGGTGGAAGAAATAGCCAGAATTGATCCATATCATAGACAGATATATATTAGATATAGATATAGAAGATAAAGAGAAAGAGAGAGAGAGAGAGAGAGAGAGAGAGAGAGAGAGAGAGAGAGAGAGAGAGAGAGAGAGAGAGAGAGATGTTTCCACCTCCAATGTTGGCATGAGACATCGATGAACTATTCCACACAGTTCTTCCTGGATACAGGCCACAGTGAAGACTGGGACTGACATCAGACTTGAAATATGGAGAAGTGGTTGAAGCCAGTAACAACCTCCATATGATTACCAGAAATTGAAAAAAAAATCTTCCCATCCATAGCACTGCTAAGGACCCTGTGCCCTTTCCAGTTCAGATTGGCTCAGGCAGCCAACATAGCAGTTAGGCACTTGCATTTAAGACAAGCTTAGACTACTAAAATTATTTATATATTTTTACAGCTACTGGCTCATAGGCTGTCAGAGCTAGAAGAGAACCTAGAAATCATTTAGATCTTCCTCATTTTTTCAAATGAGAAAACTGAGGCACAGAAAGGAGAAGTGATTCACATTACTATCTAAATATTTAATTTTCATATGTGCTCTTGCTATAACCATAAGTCAAAATGATTTGGACATTAGAGTATATTCACATCCAGATCTAAATTATTAAAATGTTTTAGAATGTATAAATCAAAATACTGAGAAACATTTATAGGGCACATTAAAGCTTACAAAATACTTTGCATATATTATCTCATTAGAAACACACAAGGTTGTTTCTGAGGAAGGTAGCACAGTTCTTATTATTTCCCTTTTATAGATTAAGAAACTGAGAATCAGAGAGATTAATGTTCAAACATAGTCATGTGTCCGAGCACGAAGGCCCCTGTTCCTCTTAGTTTTGAAGCTCTGTCACTTTGCACAGCACATTGTCATTGATCTCACCTTTTAAACCCTATCTTCAGAGAAAATGTCTATTTTCAGTGGCTTACTCAATATCCCATTGGGATAGAAAAGGTCATGAAGTATGTACAATGCTTATAGAGTAGAACTTTTAGTGACTGTTTACTGAAGAGGAAAATAATCCTGTTTCACGAAATCTATTCATCCAAAACCTTTATACTTCCTTCAGAAGATTCCACTGCTAAGACGTCTATGTATTTTTAAGCTGTCAAAATTTAGCCAGAATTGCTGAATAACAACAACTTAGAACAATATTCTTTACGATCATGATATAATTGAAGGAACACTGAGCTAGGAGGCAAGAGATCTGGTTTCTAGTGTTAATTCCAACACCTGCTGTTTGTGTGACCTTGGTGAAGTTACTTAATTTTTCTGGGCCTCAATTTCCTCATCTATAAAATGAAGGTTGGGCTATCTCAAAAGTATCTTCCAGCAATGCTATCCACATTCAGAGAAAGAACTATGGAGCCTGAACGCAGATTGAAGCATACTATTTTTCCTTCTTTTTTTTTTCTCGGTTTTTTTTTCCCTTTGGTTTTAATTCTTCTTTGCAACATGACTAATATGGAAATATGTTTAATATGATTGTACATGTATGGCCTATATCAGATTGCATGCCGTCTTGGGGAGGAAGGAGGGAAAAGAAGGAGGGGGAAATTTAAAACTCAAAATCTTGAAAACTAAAAATAAATAGATATTTTAAAATGAAAAAATTATGTCCCAACTCTAAATCTATAATCTTACTATCATCCTGTATGACTCAATCACCTCATCTCTCTATGACTCAGTCTCTTCAACCTATAAAACAAGGAGGGAGGGAGAAAAGGTCACATTGGATAACTTCCAAGGAAGACTTCTCCAAGCCCTGGCATTCCACAACTAGTATCATCCTTTGCATCATTCTCTTGGCAAATAGCTTTGGTTTTCTTAGCACAGTGATTTGAATGGACTATCACTCCCATCATTCAGTGCACAACCTGTACCATCACGTCCTCGCTTATTGGTTGCCTTTTAAATCGCTCTCCATTTGTTCTCAACAACTACCTTCTTAATGAATTTAGGAATGGAAAGAACTGAAGCTGGTATCAAGCTCAAAGTCACCATCTGTGGCACAAATTGGATAATTCTTACATTCACTAGATGTTCTTAGGAAGTGAGGCACCAATAAAACCCTGGCTATAAAGTCAGTATGTACATACCACTGTGTACACACATGATCTAATTCTGGAATTAACAAATGGTAATGATTGACCCCTAAATAAATGTAAGTATTCGCTTATGTTACATAACAGAATTAATTCCCAGGCTTTATTAGCAGAAAAGGTTGGCAGACCTGTTTGTCTCATCTACATAAGGCTCACCATCACAAATTTAAGTGGCAAAATCATCTTACCTTAGTCGTTCTTCTTCTTTCTTACGAAGATTGAAATCTCGCTGAACCACCTGAAGAACATGTTCTGTTTCATCATCTGTCAAACTGGAAAGGTCTAGTTTCCTCCCCATGGTTGGTTCAGTCGTGAACACCAACAGTTAAAAAAGACCTAAAACAAAACAAAAATAATAATAAAGACAGTGATGCGAGTATGTATGCAAACCAAAATCTTGATGACAAGAAAATTGAAGACTAGCCATAGTATATCATCCAAAAAGGGTTCAGTAAATTTCTAAAGGATTTATATATTTCTATTTCTAAAGGATCATATTTATATTTAGACATGCACATATACATTCTCTCCATTATGGTATTCAAGAAATATATTCTGAGTACTTCTTGAATCATGTCTTAATTTTAGGGTGAGAAAAGTCCTCACCTCTGACTTTACCAGTGTAAGGCACTCCCAGTGTGGAAATGCCCTCTGCTGATGCAGACTCATCTATAACCAAAAAGTCTTATCAAGTTACCTGAAGTTACCTACACTGAAGGTTAGATGACTTGCCCATTTTCACATAGCTAGTATATGTCAGGCAAGAGACATGAGCTCATTCTTATAGGGTCAGGATGGAAGTGAAGTCTTTAGGTAAACAAATACATCTGACTTTGATGGCAATCGCATAAACATTACTTACTAGAATAGCCCTATTTTTTTTCTTCTTATCTCTCTGCATCTCCTCCAAATAATCTGCTTCTGAAATTAGACTGATCCTTATCCATTTCCAGTCATATATTTCAGAGACAGACAGCTGTGTCTCAAGGTTGCATAACATTAGAATCTGCTACAAATCTCCAAAGGATCTTGAAAGCATTTCTACAAGGTTGGGCAAGAGAGAGTAAAATGCTCTAGGTTCTTTTAGAAATTGATCATTTTCTAGAGGGAGTTAAGCTCAGAACATCCAAACACTGTTTGTTTCATACCTAAGACACGTGTCAGGCATATATCAAGAAGCCACATTGTAAAAGATTGCTGGAAGCATAAAGCCATGATGTTAAGTTTTCCTAGTGCAGAAACAGTTGATGAAATTTCCATTGAAATAAATTTAAGAAATAAAGGCAAATTGAGTTTTGGTTCTATTTCTTAACAGAAAAGCTAACAGGTTTGGGGAAAGTATTCATAATGCATTTACCCTAGTAAATTACCCTATTTACCCTAAATATTACCCTCATTATTTTATTCAAGTTATTTTTGCTATCTTTTTTGTTTCCATTTACGATACTGAAGATTCAGGTTTATGAGAAAATGAAAGCATACTTCTTTGACTCATAGCCCCTGTTGGAGAATTCCACACTCATTTGGACTAATCTAAATATTCTTTTTTTTTAACAGGAAAAACAGTATCAGAATAAAAGAAGAATTGTATTTGCAATAAAAAAAATACAATTTAATAAGCAGGATTTCATATCCAGGAGTACTTGTCTTCCCATAGACCCTCAAGTATCAACTATTTCCTTTCAGATCCTGACTCTCTCATCCATTATTTTAGCTAACCCTCTCAGATTTGTGTTATTGTCAAATCAGATGAATGTAACATCTGTATCTCCATCTATACATTGATCATAAATGTTTAACAATACCGAGCCAAGCACAGACACCTACAGGCATTCCATTGGATGTTTGCTACCCTCATTGAAAAGTTCTAAATCTGTTGACTGAATAATTAATAAATCAATAAATCCATTTCTAAATCCAGTGATTGAATAACCAATAAATCCATTGAATGAATCCATTTCTCTCCATCTTCACAAAAATAGTATAAGACATTTCATTAAAAGCTTTGCTATTCAAATCTAGCCTCAGAGACTTACTAGTTGTGTGACCCTGGGTAAGTCACTTAACTTAATTGCCTCCAGAATTGAAAAAAAAAAGGTGGTTTGCTACAATCTAGTTAAACTGTATTCATAGCATTCCCCTCATTGACTAGCTTAGGCATCCTGTTGGAAAGAGGAAATAAAGCCAGTTTAGCATGGTCTCTTCTTGACCGAGGCATGGTGATTCTTGTAATCACTTCTCTTTCTCATGTTCTCTGTGGGTTCACCAATCAAAATCAGTTCCCAGGATCTTATCAGATGCTGAAATCTAGATGGCACCTTAACTGATCTTTGAAGAATTCTGAAAGGAAGAGCTGTGGTAGAACAGATTTCTGGCAGGGAGAACAAACAACATCAATGCATAAAAGTGGGAAACAAGATGTTGAATAGAGAGAGCCAGTAGGTCTGGAATTTACAGCGCACATGAAAGAGAGTAAGATAGAACGAAGCTGAGGAAACTAGGCAGGAATGAGACGGCAGAGTGTCTAAAAGCCAGGTTGAAGAGTTTGTATTTTATCTTCAGGACATTGGGGAAAGCCTGAAGCTTTTTTGAGAAGAGGAGTGACCTGTTCAAATATATAGATCATGTTAAGAATGGATTAAAGATAAGAAGGCTTAAAGGTAAAGAGAATGGTTAATAGGATATCACAATAATCTAGGATAGTGGTTCTTGAAGTGTGGTAGGTGATGCACAAAACTTGAGTCCAAGAGGTCAAAATTATTTTCGTGATGATGCTAAAATGCTATTTGCCTATTAAAATATTTCTCCCTTTTCCAACTACATATTTGCATAAGGCCAGATTTTCTTCACATACTTGAAGCAAAATAACACATCACAACAGATTTTATGCAGAAGCAGATATGAGAATCAAATTGTCTTCTGTTATAGCATACAACAAAGAAATTCATAATAATATGTAAAATAATGTCACTTCTCACTTTTGGAAAATCTGTAATTTTTCATCAAAAAATGTAATTTATGATATATAATAGGTTTATTATTATTATTCAAAATTGACACATTTTAAAATTTTGTGTTTTAATTTCTAAATCATAAATTTTAATAGATATAACCCACATAAACAAAAGTCCTTTGGGGTCCTCAATAATTGTTAAGACTGTAAAGGGGTCTAAATATTAAAAGAGATCAAATAGGATGACATCTAGAAAGTGCTTGGCACAGTGCTTGACACATAGCAGGCACTTAAATGCTTATTTCCTTCCTTTATTCTCAAAGATGAAAAAGTTTGTGAACCACTAGTCTAGGTAATAGATAGTAAGGGATTCAACTAGATAGCAATGTGAGTGGGAAAGAGGCAGATGGAAGAGATTTTTTGTTGTTCAGTTGTTTCAATCATGTCCAATTCTTCGTGACCCCATTTGGGGTTTTCTTGGCAGAGATACTGGAGTGGTTTGCCATTTCCTTCTCCAGCTCATTTTACAGATGAGAAAACTGAGGTAAACAGGGTTAAGTGACTTGCCCAGGTCACACAGCTATTAAGTGTCTGAGGCCAGATTTGAACTCAGGAAGATGAGTCTTCCTGACTCTACCCCCAGCACTCTACCCACTGAACCACCTAGCTGCCCTCATGTGAGAGATATTATAGAGATAAAATTGAGAAGACTTGGCGATTGGTTATACATGAGCTATAAGGAAGAAGGCAGAGTTAACGAGAGTGTCAAGCTACCCCATGGAGGATAGTGGTGCCATCAGTAGTAACAGGGAAATTTAGGTGGACAAGTGAAACTTAGGGAAAAATGATGAGTTCAGTTTGGTATATGTTGAATTGAACTGGATATGTTGAGTGGTTTATCCAGGTAGAGGTGTATGAGTAAGTTCATAATGAGGAACTGAAGTTCAGGTGATAGATTTGGTCTAAATGTATAGCTCTTAGGGTTCCATGAGAATAGATGAGATCACTAGGGGAAATAACTTAGGGAGAGAAAGGCCTTGGGCAGAGGCTTGGGAACACATTGGGATGGGAGGAAAAGGATAAACCAGTGAAATAGGTCAAGAAGTAACCAAACAAGGAAGGGAACCAGGGAAGCAGGTCAGAGATACTAAGGAAGGAAAAGAGTTCCCAGGAGGAGGAGGAGGAGGAGGAGAAGTGACTCTTAGTGCTGAATGCTTCATAAAAGTCAAGGAAGGTTCACCAGTTAAAAGTTCATTGGCTTTATCCTTGGAGAAAACAGCTGGGGTTAGAGGTCATTCTGCAACAAGTTGAAAATTGTGTGGATGGTAAGGAAGTAGAGAAAGCAACTATATGTAACTCTTTCTATGAGTCAATCCATGATTTGTGTCCCATCCAAGTGTCTGTCTTGCCATTCACCCAACTACTACACTCTCTAGGCCACTGGGTCTCCAGGTACCATGTTCTAGGGGACTTAATTCACTTAGTTTTGGAATTTCCATTCTCTAGTCAAGCACTCCAGATTGGTGAGCAAATAAATAAATGGAAATTCACATAGAATACTAAATCAATATACCTCTACAGCTTCTAGCAAAGGGTATTCCATTTATCATGCCCCTTGCAAGTCTTTTCCACTTCTCAGTTGTTTCAAATTATTGCCAGCTGACAGAATTTCAAGTCCCTTTATATAAGGCATCAGGGCAGAGTTCTAATTATCTTGGGCTAATTACCTTGAGGATGGAGGAAAAGTCTGCTTATGCCTCTCACTCTTGTTTGGGTCCTAAAACTTTTTTATGAGTATTTGAATCCTGGGATAATGCCTAATCTCAAGGATAGCCCTAAGAAAAACCAACAAAATAAGCAATCTATGTATCTACAGCCTTTTTCTTTTCTAAACCCATTTTTCCCTTTGGAACTTGGGACATGGCCCCAGAGAGGAAGAAGAGTTTGAGGGAGCGTTTTTCTTTCATTGCCCCTAAAATCATATCATCTCATTGTCAACAGCCAACTTCACTGATGTGACAGGCTAGCTCTACCTGGTCCTAATCTATCAAAATAAACAAAAATCATATACTGCACTTTGTGATGACAGAAGCTTACTTCACCACCAAAGCACACGTAACTGAAATTATCTTTCAAGTAATTTAAACAGAAGACTTTAAAGTTATTAATAAATCTTTATATAGTTCTTCTGGAGATATAAAACTTTTATGATCATCAGTTAATAGCAGGGCTTTTAAAACTCAAACACATATAAAGTGTTTATGGTCACAAATTGTTTTCAGTTTATGGGTAACAAACTCAGTTGGACACAAAAGCAATTGGGGAGTGAAGAAAAATTCTACCCACTTTTGATAAGATGAGATAATCAGGATAAGATGGAACA